ATAAACGAAGGCTCTCTCCATTGATGAATAATAACCGCTAACAAGCTCCTGGATGATGGATTGGAAATGGAACTTGCTATTATGGCTCTTTCGGGACCTACCAAGGAGGACAAAGTACAGGTGAAAAATGGCTCGGGCCCGGAGGGGTGACCTGCCATCGCCACTCTCTAAATCTTTGGACTTGCACATTGTGGGGATGCAGGAGTAAGGAATAGGCTTCCAGGAGCAACACCTTCACAAACATGGAATGAGACTCAGATTCCCCAAAAATACTCCCCCTCCTTCATTTCTAGTAAATCCTAATCTGTCAAACTCCATATAGGTCACCTCTACCATATTTTTGTAACCTTCCCTGCCTGTGACTGGCAATCCATAACTGAGAATTGGCAGCAGGGGGTTACTGGATTGAGGAGACTACCAGACAATGATGAGGTGAACAACTGATTAACGGCCAATTCCAAGATATAGAAATAAGCCAAAGCCCACTTTCTTCCCCCATGTCACCACAGGGTCATGTAAACTGTAAGAACACCTAGGGGGCCCTCCTGATGACATCTCTCTGAGCTGTGAGTAATGATGCCAAGATCCCAAAGACTCCTCTTATGCATCTGAAGTTGTCTCTACAGTCACTTACAGGGGAGTTGTCAAGAGGGATGCACCGATACCGATACTAGTATCGGTGCCGATACAGAGTATTTGGGTGAGTACTCAGTATCGGCAAATGCCCAAATGCTCCGATGCCTAGCCTGATACCCAAACTTCTGGTATCAGGAAGCCGGGCATTGAGTCATTACATGCTGTCCGGCTTCCTGATTGGCCAGGAAGCTGGCTCCATGCTCCCTCGTCACTTGGTAACGAGGAAGCATGGAGCCGGCTTCCCGGCCAATCAGGAAGCTAGGCAGCGTGTAAAGACTCGTCGCCTAGCTTCCTGATTGGTCTTGAAAGTGACCCATCAGGAAGCCGGACAGTGAGTCATTACCCGCCCTCCCGATTGGCCAGAAAGGCGACTTCAGGCTCCTTCGTCACCTGGCGACTTAGCCTACTGATTATGCGCTGGGTGGAATCTAGAATTCCCTTTATAGATAGTTATTGAGGTTCAGGTGTCAGCCACAGTACTGTGCAGTATCAACCACCAGATAATGATGAAGGCTCAAGAATGATTATTATACACACTGACTGGGCATTGCCGGTGACCTTGTGACCTTTTCTTTGGCACTGGTCATGTGACAGAGTGCAGGTTTCTTCATGCAAGGTCGGCTTTTGCTATCACTTTTCCTGTTGGGTTAACCATCTTGCTAAAAACGATTGATACGTTTAATGTTAAGTGTAGCACTGTTGTGAAAGACTGAGCTTTGTGTGTGTTGGGTGAGTTTTCCCCCCGTCTGTTCCTATTGCGCCTAGTTATGAATCAGACGAGTAAAGAAAAGGAGGCCGGTGAGTGCCGTACCCATCAAATGTACAGTATGGGCCTTACCATGCCGGCTATCAGTAGGATGTCATTACCAGTCACTGGCATCAATGGGCAGCTGTCTTCCTAAATATCCAACCCTTACTATGTTCTCTACAGTTAGGAGAGAGTTTGCATTATTAATGAATGACTATCTGTATACCAGGCAATGCACAGATATCTGTATACCAGGCAATGCACAGATATCTGTATACCAGGCAATGCATAGATATCTGTATACCAGGCAATGCACAGATATCTGTATACCAGGCAATGCACAGATATCTGTATACCAGGCAATGCATAGATATCTGTATACCAGGCAATGCATATATATCTGTATACCAGGCAATGCATAGATATCAGTATACCAGGCAATGCATAGATATCTGTATACCAGGCAATGCACAGATATCTGTATCTGTAACCACTGAACCTTCACATTCTCAAATAATTCATCCCCACACAGCTACCTCCTCATGTATCATTTCCCCCTCCTCTTTCAGATTGTAAGCCCTCAGGGGCAGGGCCCTCCTTACCATCCTGTCTTGAATTGTATTGTAACTGTAATGTCTTCCTTATATTGTAAAGCGCTGCGCAAACTGTTGGCGCCATATACATCCTGTATAATAATAATAATAATCTGTATACCAAACAATGCAAAGATATCTGTATACCAGGCAATGCACAGATATCTGTATACCAGTCAATGCACAGATATCTGTATACCAGTCAATGCATAGATATCTGTATACCAGGCAATGCATAGATATCTGTATACCAGGCAATGCATAGATATCTGTATACCAGGCAATGCATAGATATCTGTATACCAGGCAATGCATAGATATCTGTATACCAGGCAATGCATAGATATCTGCGTACCAGGCAATAGATAGATATCTGTATCCCAGGCAATAGATAGATATAGATAGATAGATAGATAGATAGATAGATAGATAGATAGATAGATAGATAGATAGATAGATACTGTATGTATACAAAAGTTCACATGTAAATATAAAAAAAAGTGCAATCTAATGTCCCCTTACAAGTAGATCCAAGCAGCAAGGAGGGATCACTATCTTGCAGGCCTCTAGTGACATAGAGGCTGGCTGGTTGATCCACAGTGTACAGCGCAAGATGTAGGGAACAACCACTAGTCTTTTGGATGCTAAAGATTCTTCGATTTGGTCTGATGATCGGAGTCACCTCCTCGGGCTGCTACCTGAGTCCCAGGGTGTCTTATTTATTTTTATTATTATTTATTTATGTATTTAATAATATTTATTTTCTGGCATTTAAAAACAACATGGTCAT